GAAGCTTTAGTCAAAAGAAATAGGTTTCTCCCTACACAGAAAGCCAAATTCTTACTGATGACCCTTCCCTCTGAATTCCCAAACATTTTTACGAATTTTTTTAAAAAAATTTACCAATGTTTTTAACTCAAATTCTTGACACGAATATTTCCCGTTTTGCCGATGTTAGAGCGCGCTCATTTTTAAATAAGCGCAAGTTAACCTGTTTATTTTCCCCTATTTACCCCTACAGCTAGCCTTTAGGACTTTGTACCAATCGATCTTCACTACCTTCGTGTGGATGATGGGAGAGTTTGAATACAAAGACGTGTTGGTGGACAATCCACCTACCTATCTGCCTGGTCTCTACTACTTCTTCTTTTTTCTTTATGGCATTTTTGTTCCAATTATTTTCTTGAATCTGCTCGTAAGTAAATTGTATAACAACTGAAAAAAGAAATRAAGCAGCTATTGTGTAATTTCATCAGATATGAATAATCTAAGGCTTGTGGAAAATTAAAATGAGCCGTAGGCGGAACAATATCAGCTTGCGCGTGCACAGAATACGTGCCTAATGTTCTCCTTCGAGGGAGYACAATGTTGAGCCAATCAGAGCGCAAGTAGCCAGGCGACTGTACAACGAAAGATATAACAGTCGGTTGACATTTAAAAGACGAAAATGGCTGGTATTCACATTGTGTGGGTGCGCCTAGTCTTTCAATACTGCATTCTTTTATCCTCCTAACATAGCCAGTAACCCTCAATACTCGCTAGTCAGCAACGATTCTTGAAGACATCTTCTTTTTCTGCCTGTTGTTTGTAGATTGGTCTTGCTGTTGGTGATATTAGTCGGATCCAGTCGTCTGCAGAATTACAAGTGTACGCTAAACAGGTATCTAGAATCATTAGAATCATAGTACGTCTTTAGGGCTATTGTTTTTGTATATGCACACATAGTCAGTTCATTGGTTGTTTATGAGTATAAAAGGTGAGCTTTTTCCCCGACAGGTCGAACGTTTAATACAGATTGAGAGGGGATTCCCTGAAGCACTACGCATGCGCACCAGGGTGTACGAACATACCGACTACCCCAATATGAAGTTAAGTTTACGAAAAAAGGTAAGTTGATCAGTATTTCATCTTGGAATTAGATGACTTTCTAAATACCAATCAAAAACCCAAAATAAAGGTAGTACCTTTTTTCCTCTTTACTCTGCTCAGCATGTACACCTATTTCAAAAACCGTTGTCATCATCAAAGGCAATAGGTGATAAAAGGCGATAGGTGATAAAAGGCGATAGGTGATAAAAGGCGATAGGCGATAGGTCATTCCGAGACGGAAATGGTTTCGTTGAATACACGCAACATTAAATCGGTCTCAACACTAAGGTCCATGTTCTTGACGAGAATAAGAAGCAGATTAAACACAAGTCATTCCAGCTATTCTTAGATCTTGGAATGAACTATTTCATATTGCTTTTCGCCTATCGCCTATCGCCTTTGGCGATGACAATGTTTATTGAAATAGACCTCTTGCATAAGACAAAACAAAAGAATTCCAATCTCCTTAGAATTGGAACCTATTGTTTTGTCCCCCGGATTGAGCTGCATTCCAAAGTACTGCAAGGGGTCTATTGAAATAGGCATAATAYATGTATGGCATTTTTGTTACCCTTTACACCAATACTGTTCACTCTAATTAGAGCGATTATCGCTCGTGGGAATTAAAGGAGACCCTGCCACTCTGCCTGCAGGGTATTGTTATTAATATGGTATGTGAAGCATCTTTCTAGGACAAGGAGATGTAGAGGCTTTGCACCATCACATGATGGCAGCCAAGACAGGA